CAGTACTGTTGTTGTACCACCACACTACAAGACCGAAGCATCGATTATTATTGAAGAAATGAATTACCAGGGCTCTTATACCGCCTATTCCATGCTTTCCGGATTTGTTACCATCTCAATTCGAAGGTTTGCGTTTTCTCATTACTTACTGCTGCTCACTTTGCCGGAAAATAGTGAATGTTGTGCATTAACGAGTAAAACCCACGAGGTAGTAAGTGACCGCTTTCGTGAGTGACCACATACATCGAACAGGCGGTGGCTGCTAACTGGAAACGTATAGCCCACGCTCGAAAGGGTAGCACAACTTAACCCGGCATGCAACTGTGAATCCCAGCAGCATCACTAACACGGGAACCTGCGTTGATAATCCAGAAGTTCTTAGTATTCTTGGTTTTTTATTTATTACATAAATTAAAGGCGATGCGGGACCGGAACTTAATCATCATATTACTGGATCTTTCTATGGCCTTTACATACGATAAGCCGCTACTGGCTAATGCTAATAAATACAGCTGAATATACTTTGCATTACGAAAATTTTTGCCCTATTTGTCAGATGATAATATGCAGACTAATCAAGGGTAAAGAATGGAATAACATACTGTGTTGCTGTAATACCAAACTGTGGAGTGAAATTCCCCTAATTTCTTGCATCGAGACGTAACACGATGTAATCATTACATTACTCTGGATCTTTCTATGGCTTAAGACAATGTTTCGAAATTTCAGCTTCCTAGCTTTCGTATTTCAAAGCACGGCAGTTACTTAATCATACAAACAAACACAAAGACTTAATCACACAAACAAACACAAGGACATGTATTAATGCTTTTTTACACTCAGGCTTACATTAAAAAATATATAAAAATACGATCTTAGTTCAATTATCAGGTTCATTAATATACACTGATTAAAGAAAGGAAATTTTCCACGTTTGAACTCCTTATGCTGATAAGCGACCTCATAGCGCTTCAAATCTCTAGCTCTTCCCCGAATCCCTAGCTCTCTTCTTCCCTCTTCGCCTCTTCCTCTTAAATATAGCTCTGTAATGCTGAAATCTCATCCAAAATCGATCAGTTCCAACAACATATGCAAATTTACCTTTCCAGGAGAAGAGATGGTGCACTGGTGTTGCCGTTAACAATGAATATAGTTGATGTGTTTCGGGAACATCTTGAATCACGTCATGCACGCAAGGAAGTCAAAGCATCTGCCATGATTATGGGGAATCAATGCGTACGATTAACATCCAAGGGTACTTGCTCATTTCAGGTTTGTCACTTTATTCTTTGTGATTGATAAAGCAAACAAAATCATGAATAAAAGCTTCCTCGTCTGAAGGATGCAGAAGCAAACTGATGGCAGTTTTGACTTTTTGGCTTAATAGTTAAAAATACCATTTACCATCGAAACGAATGATGAATCGTAGAGGGATTTGTTTGTTCCACAGGTAAAGTCGAACCACAGATCTTCGGTAAGAAGGTAGCGCTATTTACTACTGCACCTACGTTCGTTGTTCGATTTAAGTAAATATTTCAAATTTTATTCTATTTTCACCAAAGCAATTATATACTCTTTGAAAATGGTGGCAAGAAAGAGACGGTCTTTTGAATGCGCTGGAACCAATTAGAGTTTTCAGTAGAAAATGTTGAGCCAAAAAAAGTTCCTTTTTTTGAGGGACTGGATGGCAAGTTTATTTCACTGAAACGCTGATGAATTGCTGCAAAATCATCAAACATTGAAAAGCCTTTTCCCGAACAACACTTTTAACAATCTTTCAATACGAGGGATATTATTTTTCAAAAAGGCAACAACTGTTCCCTTTCATGAGTAATCCACTGAGCAAAAACGGATATCCGTCAGAACTTGATTCACTGAAAAATTTGTTGCAGGGTCAAAAATTTTTTTTGCCAAAATAGCTCCCTCGTTTGTAAGGTTGCGAATAATGTTGTTTGTTTAGCATCACTGACAAAAAATCTGTTTGATTATGCATGAGAATTGCATGTTTGTGTGAAAACGCATTTGTCAAACCTGTTTTACCATCATTTTTCGGCGATGTCTCACAAAAAAAGTCGAAAATCACCTCCGAACTATTTTTTACACGAAGGGAAACATTGTAATGAGCGTTGTAACATGGCAATAATTGTGGAGGATAATGAAATGAAAAACTTATAATGAACTGTGAATTCTTCTTTAATATGGCCTGTCTGGAACTTTTTGTTTTAGCAAATTCTCATCCTGAAAAATTAAGCAAAAAATGGCACAGCGGATTGAATCTCCTTGGTATTTCATTTTCCGTCGAAAAAATAAAAACAGCGAATGCTAGATTTGCTAAATAAAAGTCAAATATCAAATTCCAATCAAAAAAGACACCATGTAAAGATGGCAAATATGGCGCAGTTGCGAGTAGCACTTTTGAGTTGTAGAAGACTGAGGGTTCGGCTCATCCTGCAAGACAACCAGTCCTTCTACGATTCGTTCATTCACTGTGTCACTA